AGCGAGTCTCTGAACAAATCCTCTGAGTACTGACCTATTGGTTCTCTGTTGGGTCTCTGGGGTCGTGTTCTTTTAACTTAGGTACACTTCAATCCCAAGGTTGTGTAGCAAGGAGTGTGCATTCTATTTGTTTGCGTGCGTTACGAATAACGTTGCCACTACGGTTCCGGTCTCCTCGCTATCGAAGGCGATTTCGATCAGATCATAATGCATGGCTTTTGATAATAACTCGTGGCTTTCGATCATAACTCCTGACTTCTGATCATAACTCGTGGCTTTCGATCACCTTTACACATATACATACGCATCCTCATCATCAACATCCTCATCATCATCGTCATCGTCATTCTCCTGAGAAAACGCACGAAATCAAGCTCTGGGAATGAAGGTTTCGGCATGATGGTTTCGGAGGATTTGTTCCTTATGCTTACTGTCTGTAGAGAGTGCATGGGCCTAAGTAAGTAGATTTTTTAATAAGGCAAATACACTTGTAATTACTTAGGATCCTTAGTACGGGACTAACTTCTCTGTGCCGAGTTGCTGGTGGTTCTTTGTTTCTTCTTGCTTCATTCGTTTTTTTGCGTCGTTCCTTCGATTTGTTCTCCCTGCTTTATTACTTGCATACTTCGTGTTTCTGTTCTTTCGTTATGCCTTTCCTACATGATTTATTTACTTATGTCTGTCTTTCTTTGTCTCTGTGCTGAATTGCTGTCCTTCTTTCTGTGCTTCTGTTTGTTGTTCTTTCGTTACTCCTTTATTTGATTCTTTCGTTCTTTGTTTCTTTCCGTCCTCCTGTCTAGATTTTGCTTGGAGTAGTTTTTCGGATCCCTGGGACAGTCCCCCTGTATTCTGCTTCTAAACCACAAATAGTCTGATGTTGATCCCTTAAATTTTCTGGTTCCCTTACATAATGTTTTTGACCCCTTAAAAACAAAAAATTGACTTGTATCCCCCAGGAACCCTCTAAAAGCGCAAAACCCGACAAAAGTTCGCAGGTCCTTAACCCCCACATGTGCTAGACTTAAGAAGCACGAAGTCCTATCTTGAACTGCTACAGAACACTCTGAATCCTGAAATCCTGCTACACAAGCTCATACGATAGGGCCCCGTATGTTGGTATGTCGTGGGCAATGGCCACACGATTCTATAAGCTGCCGGTTCACGGTCAGACTGTTCAACAAAAGAGACCGAGCAGCCAACACCGCGGTGATCATTGAACTGAAGGGTGCTGTCTCTCGAAAAGCCGCCTAGGTTGATGCACACCATGTCTTGGCCGACATGCAAGGCACCAAGGCACCTCCTCTCTGATGCCATGCGGCTAGGAGAGCTGCACATAGCAGGCCCGCAGCCGAAGCGACTCGATTTCCCTTCACCTCTCAGACATGACGGCCCCACACAAGCCTGGATTGCGCTCAAGCGCTACGTACGTGCTGAATGCGAGGAATGCAGACGTGTTACACAAGCATAGGCACCAGCAGCGGCCACTGCCGCCGCCTCCAGCAGGAGGAGCTGATGCAGAAGCGCCACGGACATGGCTGAAGATAGCGCCTGTCTGCTCTTGGCAACCTTAGCCCATGTCTCGGCCCCAACACTGCCCAAGCAGACTAGACCAAGCCTACTTGCTTGATGGACCAAACCGATAAGCACCGGCATTGCAAATGGAAACTGCTGCATGAGCTAGCTTGGCATCGCCTCTTATGCTGTCTTTCTCTGAAGAGCCAATGGCACTCGTGACGAGTCGAGGCTCTTCTCGTGGTGCATACCAGTACTAATGGGAAGACTCCTGGTCCTGGCCTTGTCACCCGCACAACCGGCGCATACCTGCCAACAGCGTAGGAAGAAGCACACCTTCAGTAGTCACGCGGCTGAACAAGTAGCTGGTAGTGATAGTAGCCCTGGTCTACTGCAGCGGAGCTTCCACGAGAAGTGAGCACCCACTTCGAGGGCAGTTGCCTGAAAAGTCCACGGTGGGTAGCATTGGGGCACATTTCTGTCCGAAGGCATGCCAAGCATCACGCTACTGCGCTACGTCCACTTGAACATGACCTGAGGCAATAGCCGCAAATGGCAGATTCGCCACAAGCAGTGTGGATTCCTCCTCCAGGCCTGCAGATGCACTTCGTAAAGGCATGGGCCACTGATTCCAAAAGCCGTAGCCCCTCGCAATCCAGAATCCAAACAATTCCTGGTTTGCAAAGTGCGGCTGAAAATCTGCACAAAGCTTTCCTCCGCAACAGGGTCTTCCTCGGATTCGATGCTGAAGCCACTGGCTTCTCTCCACACCCTCCATTTCTCTCGAAGTCAACGCATGCGTTGTCCGGGACTACCAACCCAGCAAAAGACACAAGTTAGACTGCCATAACTGCGAGAAATGAAACAAGGTAGCAATCCGCAAATGCGGCCTGCAGGCAGCTGCTTCGCAAAGCCTGCAGACACCTTCGAAGATTTAAGCAGGAGCCACATCTTTGGGTGCACAAACCCCTACGGCAACTCTCAGGATCAAGCGACTGCTGCGAGGACTTTGTCTGCTTCAGCCTCGGCATCGCCTGGCGACCAGCGACACTTCCGCAAGAACTTCTCATACACCTTACTTCTCGCTCCTGCTAATGCCAAGCCTCGCAACCTTTTCGGATAGCAATCTCGACAACGTCCGAATTGGGGGAGTTGGAACACTCGGGCGGCGGGCAAGCTCCGGGACACAGAGCGCCCTGGCTCGGCAATCTGCTGCCATCTGCCTCGAGGTGTTCCCGTCCCCGTCCCCGATCCCTGCAGCTAGCTACCTCACAGGAAGCCGCTTTGGGTCCTGCATGGTGCTCAACGCTACGCGCTATTACGCGCTACGCGACTGTACAAGGCTGCAGACAGGACTCACATGCACCAGATTTCACGAAAGCCCTCCGGGGTGTGGCGCCAGGCCATGGCCTCTTCTGCCCACAAGATGACTTCCCCTGAACAATCCCTTGTTCTACGGCCCATGAGCAAACAACTGCCTCTGCATGCGTCTCGAAGCTGCGAGCCTCGAAAGGCTTAAAATGCTTAAAACAGAAACGCGAACTTCGCACCGAGTACGACAGGCCTCCACTTCGGCTTCCGGGGGCGCCCATGTGGCTGCCCAGGCTTCTGCGAAACGCTCCTTGCCGAGAAGATACATGCCAGCAAAACGCCCCATCCCTGCTTTGAAGGGGCACCTTGAGCTTGGTGCAGAAGTCGGCGTAGTTCCACCTTGAAAGGCCGAGGTCAATGCCATCGCCCAAAGGGCGAAAGGGCCAGCTGAGTCCCCCGCAGGCTTGCCTGAATCAACTCGGACCTGGGACGGGGTTTGGGATGGCTTGGGGTTCCAAGGAGCTTTGTGCAGCTTATCGCAGCTCGAATCCGAAAGCCCATCTTCCACCTCGCTTCATCCGGTCATGCGCTTCTGCTCAGCCATGCACAGTCTTTCGGGTGAACTCCATCAGAAGATCGTTCCGACTTCAGCTCAGACCGAGTTGTCCAAGTTGCTCAGCTGCCGTCTGCGGGTCAGGGATGATACCGGATGATTCAGATTCAGATGGTCTAGTTACTCCAGTGCTGCAAGCATGTGAAAAATCACGACTGTAGGCCAAGGCTGGCGACACGGCCATGCCCACTAACATCCGTCATGACACAGCACCCCGAAAGCCTATCGGAATCACATAAGACCGAGGGTCCTTGCCCGTGAGGAGCTCCGCTGCAAGTATGCCAGATGTTGCAAACATCGCAAAGCGTCCATTGTTCAGCTCCTGGCGAGAAGACAAACGGAATCTTGAGACTCTGTTTGAGGCAGCACATGGCAAAGCAGAGCTCCTTGTCCCGCATGTCCCTGTTGTACATGTTAAAGCCGAGGGGATCTCCGAAGTTGCCAGGCTCCTTCCAGGGATCCTCTTTCCAAACGAGCCATTCCATGAGCATGGAGCCGATGACGACCAGACCAAACATCCACAGGGAGGGAACCAACAGGGCAGCCTTGTAGCCAGCCGGCGACTCTTTTAAACCCAGGAAGGGCAGACGGATGTAGCACTGGGCCACAAGGCCGACACTTGCCAGCATCGCCACACGCCCGTGTTTTAGCTCGGCCGCGCGCAGTTGCTTGAACTTGCCTTCATCACCAGAGGGACAGAATCCCAGCGGGTCAAAGAATCCCAAGGGTGCCATGGCACCGGGCTCAAGAGTCGGGTCGAAGGGTTTGCGACGCGGCCTTGGCTTGGCCTTCTGGATTTCTCGCGATTGCTCCTCGCTGTCTTCGTCAATTCCGTCGACTTCATCCGGCTCCGCTTCCGCTTCACTTGCCTCTGCTTCCGCTTCCACCTCCGTCTCTGCCTTCTCCGCCTTTCGAAAAATTCTGCTCTGACCTGAAACTCTGCGGCGAACTCCAGAGACAAGCTTCAGGGCGGGAAGACACAGTGCAGCGGTGAGCACCCTGTGCACGCCACCCCGGCAAGCGTCAACCTTCGCTTGTGTCAGAAATCTCGCTGAATGAGAGATCGGCACAGCGACGGGAGCGACGCAAAGTGCGGATGCCCCTACGCTCGGTGCAAGCATGGCTCGCTCCCAGTCCCAGGCAAAAGCGGTTCAATGGGCACTACGTGTAAACTCGAAGGTAGCGTGAGCTGTGGCCACGAGCTCCGAATGACATCTAAGTTTTCGTCGGATGAGGACTGAGTCATCTGCTACTCTCGGTCCCCTGACGCTGCAGAGGTGAGGTCTGCCGGCCAAACGAGCAACAACGTTCAGCCCTTCAGTAAGCTGAGTGTGAGGCGAACCTCTGTCCAAGGTCACAACCTGCACAGACCATTAGAGCCCGCACAGAACAAGTCACTGATGAGGTTGCTTGCCTCCCACGAAAGGACATGGTCCAGCATCGCAAGTAAGCATTCGACCTGACAGAACATCAACATGTCTCCAACCGTTCACGATGCGCGCGAAACGTGCAGAAGATTTGCAGCTGTCTGGGCATGTGCTTTGGATATCTTCGGATTCAGCTGCAATCATCCGAAGTCTCGCACATCTTGCACACGACATCGGCACTCGACCGCTCTGCTTAAGGCATAGACGCACTTGAGCTCTTGGCGTGGAAGCACAGCCTGCATACTGGAGGCAATGACCATAGTTTGAACATTGGCGCCAAATAACGACTATGATGATAGTGAAATCATTATGACTGCGACGCTGGCACGCTTGATGGCGATGACCACACTTGGTGATGACACCGACAACCGAAACATGATGCTGATCATGATCGTGATGATGCCTGGCGTCAGTACGAATCACTACTTTCCGCGGAACGGACACTTGCATGGACGTGCCTGGACGTACTCGCTCTCCACATGTCTGGCCAAGTCACAGACCACATACCGCAAATCCTGCGAAATGTGGGAAGCACTCAGTGGACAACTGCATTGGGGTCACGAGGACAATCAGCAACAGCCTGTCCTCCCTCCAGCGATTGTGCCAGCATAAGTGCAGATGTGGCAGCCCGTAGGAGGTGCAGGCACCCCAGTTCGGCGTGTGCGGATTGTAATCCAACCAGAGCATGAAGCAGAAAACCACATCACCCCAAATGCGCAGCCTGACGAAGGTGTCCTCCGAGGGAGCTTGCGCTGACGACGACGATGCGGCAGAAGACGGTATCTCGTTTTGGCTGCCATCACTGCACAAAAGAGCAGCGAGCGCAGCATGGTGCTTGATCCGGGCGTTCGTCCGCCAGATCGACCCAGTATAAACATGTGGCATCCCTTTGAGCTGTGGTGAGAGGTGCCAATGAAGCGCATCCCAAATTTCTGTCACAGCCTTCCGCCAGGAATTGCTGATGTTGTCCGCAACACGGAGGACAAGCTGATGCCGGATCCGATCGCGAACTGCCTGCTGCAAACGCTCTGCCTGTTCTGGCCGATGTTGCGCAGCTTTCACGAGGGCAAGTCCTCCAACTACAACGGCAGCACCTGTTGCAGTGCCTGCCAAGAGCAGCGGGGACTCCGTGGCTGCAGCTGTCGCCGCTGCTGCAATCGCTCGCGCACCCGTCAGAGCCGACGAGGTCATCACCCGAATCAAATCCAGTGCTAGGGTAGTACCCCACACTGTGAGGATTGGATTCGGAAAATTCCTGCGTTGCCAAAAGTTTGCATCGTCCGGATCCAGATCATCATCCTCCTCTGAATCTCCGTGCCAACGCACACGACAGAAGGGACATCTGCGCAAGTGGCCATAGCAGTGCAAGCACAAGGATTGACCACAACAGTCTAGCTTCTTCTCGGCATGTCGTGGTGGATCTCCGCCTCCTCCTTCTATCTCCATCCACCTCTCGTACGTCTCGAAACAAATCGGACAATCGTTTAACGGATCCATGCCGACTGGCTCCTCGGGATCCTGGGATCCGAGCGTGGGTGCTTCCATAATTCGCTCGATTCGTGAGGCTGCACAGCTCCGAAATCTTATGGCAGTGGTCAGTAGTGAACTGCAGTGCTGGCTGCCGGTGGCACAGATGCTACAAAACGAGCGGAATGCTGTGCAATCGTGATGGAAACGTACCACGTGCCTATACTTGCTGAGAGAACCAAAGTAAGTAATCGGTCCGCGAAGCTGACGAATGAGGAAGTCGTGATGAGGACGACAGCCGTGGCATGTGACACAACTGGCAAATGCTTTCAAGAGCGACACAGCATGCCAACAACAAGCCGTGCCTGAAGCCGCCATGCGGGCGAAAGCCGAGGCCGGCTCTGCGACTTTGCAATTCAAACACTACCCTTGAAGGCGTACCCAGGCACTTGCAGAGCATCAAAGAAGTGGTGGAAGACATCCAGGCTAATTGCAGAACGTGTCGGGTCAGGTGTATTGAGTGTATTGCACTGCGAACTTCAGATAGCTCAAATGATGATGCAAGCTGTAGCATCACAACAACGTCTGCATTGTCAACAGCAGGCACACTTGAGCCTCCTCAGTCGTAGCGGAAGAGTGCCCGAGCATGTAGCTAGCCATTACTGGTAGCCTGCATGCGTGAAAGTTTGGCCAAGTTCGCTGCCCGGGCTTCTGCTGTTGCCTGGACAGCAGATACCGTAAATTCAAACTGCTTTCTGTCCTGAAGAGCAAAGGCTGCTGCATCTGTCACCCGCAACACAAACTGCCACATTCCAAACTTGACTCGATGGAAATACACGTCAACACGCAGTGATGCAGCCGGCCTGGCGAGCGCGAAGGCGAAGGCCTTCCCTGGGGCAAGTGGCGTACAAACAGTTCGCAAGATCTTGCAGGATCAAGACCTGGGAAGGCGATGAGCTGATCGTTGTAGAAACCTTAGGTCGTCACGCTGTCACACATCAATAGCGAGACACCCCTCAAAAGGTCATGTGTTTATGCATTCAAGACTCATTTGCAGGTTTGGGGCAAAACTCAACGGAGCAGCATAGCCTCTGGCGGCGTCATGCGAGAATCGCTGACATGGCTAAAGGAAGCATGTTGCTTGTACTCGCAATAAGGCCGCGACGCCCACATCAAGTCGACACATGCATAAACACATCCATGACCACATGCCGGCGCTTTCGCTGCATGCTTAACCAGGTTGGTCAATGACCATGACCAACCTGCCGAGTACGACTACAATGACATTTTTCTCATTCATGCATGGTCGGCATCTCAAGAACGTGTCGATGCGTACTCATCACACACCACGCTGTGGCGCGTGTCTTTACCAAGCACATCCAACACAAGCCATCGTGGCTTCACGACAAATGGGGTGTCGAAATCAACAAAATGATGCTTTACCATGTCCAACATCTGCTGCATGTACGGAACGCGCATACAACTTAGACACATTGACATGATGAACGCATTGCTTTTGCTCCCCAAACCGCGAGCTTCATGATGTAGTAGATGATGTTGTGTACACATCTCGACTTATCCGCTATCCCCAAGCAATGCAAATAGCCTGACATATTCCAACCGAAACACCGAAAATGTAATGCTTCGTCCTATGTGAATACGAGTCCAAAAACCGGAGTATAGCACGCAGAGCTTGCTGTCCAAATATAACGCCGATGTGTCACACATGCAGTTTGACACACAGGAAGAGTGCAACGATTGAAAGACATTTAGTTCTTCTTTGATTCCTGAAAAAGCCCGCAACGGCATTGAAGAAGCATGTACTTCGATCAATCTATCAGTACAACCTTCCCCACCACCCTGGATCCATAATGTTGCACTGGTAAAAGTTGCCAATCGATTAGGCAACGAATGCCAACGATGAAAATACAAGTTGAAACTTGCTTGAAGAGTGAAACGTTTCAAAAAGGAATCAATCAGAAATAAATTGGAAATAAACTGCAACACATTCATTTCTCGTCATGCGGTTTGCAAAAATCTTAAATTCAAGCAGCTTCAAAAATGAAACTGTTGTAAACACTTATGAATGCAAGAAATAAGTGGCAAAATGACGAATACCGCCCATGAAGCTTCACTGAGCCTGCGGAATGAAGTCTTTGTCACTCTCTCTTTTTGGCAGCGGCAGGATGCATTCTTGTACTGCAACCAGAATCGCAACTTTTTCGATTTGCTCCACCGCCAAGACAGTGTGTACACCTACACCAATGGAGGACAAAAGCTCCACGTGGCTGGCACGCATCATCCGACTGCTCCAGGTTCTGACTGACTTAGTTTCCTTAGCGACCTACTTAAGCTCTGGGCAAACGAAGCGTGCAGCAGTTCTTTTTGTCAAGGTGTGCTCGGAATAGTCAGGCGATGCATAGCCTTGCTATGCGGAGCTGCTCTAGCCCCCCTTAGGTGTGAGACGCAAGTGCGATGCTTGGTAGATATGCGATCTAACAGCTTATGCGATTTGCGGCTTGATTATAGGGAGTGGAGGGCGGGTGA